TATAATTTCGTTATATAAAATTTTTTAAATGGGCAAAACAACCCCATTATTGCAGGCTCTCTTTAGAATATGGATGTTTAGCATCTGTTTTTTTTGTTTTTCCCAACTATCCACTCTAGTGACAATTCAGATCAATGAAAGAAGTCACCCTCAACATATTGCTATTTTTAAAAAGACATACAAATCAAACAGTGTTGCCCTATATAGCCTTGTCTTTAACATATTATCTTATACAGTAAATATTTATCTTAAATTGATATATCATTTTGCTTTTATTACTAAAGGATAGGTTACCATGAGAAAAGTTAAGCTTGTATTAGGAATTATAGTTCAACTATACAGTTGTCACTATAAGCCACAAGGCAGCAATTCAAAGACTGAGTTATGATTATGAAATGAAAACTATATTAAAGATAATATAATTATTGGCTTGTGAACCTGAGATTTTAACAAAAGAGAAATTTTAAAATTTTGTTCTATGGGTTTTAATTTAGAATTTTAGAACTAGAAAGAACTGAGAGGTATCTTTTTATATAAATTTCTTTGTTTCATTTTTGGTTTTCTCATACAAATCATTGTGGACTTAACATAAAATATATCTGTTTTACTTAATATAGAAATTCTATATAAAATTAATTAATAGTAATTCATACATGCATAGGTCTTTGTACTTTTTAAGTACTTTTGTAAATACAATATTTTATATTTTTTACTTTATTAAGCCCTCTGAAGTAGATGTACCAGAAATTATTAAGTTCTTTTTTATAGATGAAGAAACTGAGGCTTACAAGGAGTCACTTTTCTTAGTTAACAACACTAATAAGGAGAAAAGGCAGAACCTCATTCAACATATTTTATATTATTTGCACAGCTACATGTTGACCAAAAATAACAATGGTATCCTTTAGTTTATCACACATAAATTTGGAATATTTTAATAGTACTCTGTCTAAGAGAACTTTAGTTTTATACTTGCAAATAAGACCTTTCACAGACAGCTGGCTAATAAGTGCTCTCTATTAAACTACCAACACTTAGAAACAACCTTTGTTATGATCTGACAGAGAAAAGGAAAGTAGAAGTGAAGTTTAAAGTAAAACAAAGAGTATTTCCAGAGATCAGTGATTAGGAGTAAAGGGGGAAATAGAATGCAAGTCCAGGGGAGGGGTTTAACAGTTACCTCAAACACTACTACGTGAAGTTGTAACCATTCCTAAAGCCACCCAATTTTGTGGTATTACCAGAAAGATAAATGTATTAATTATGTTTATTAGACCTAGTGTTTAATTACATCTTTGATAAAGTGCATATTATCTTACAGCTATTGAAATAAACCCAATATCTAACACCTAAAAAAGTATCCAATTCAAAAGAAAACTGTCACTTGAGTAATAGGACACATAGCGCACACACAAAAAAATCAAAGGCATGTAAGAAAATTTGCTTAAAGTTAATGTTATGAATAATCAGAGAGAAATCCAAGACTTATTTCCTTGGATAATAGTACCCATTCAACTACCAATAATAGTTGAGGCTATTTTTAATTTTTTAAATTTTTCCAATCTTCCAAGAGTCCAATTTCTACACTCTTAGGTATCTTAATGTAATAAATAACTCTTCTGTCCCAGTTATTTCTGCCTTAACAGATACTACTGGCAAGGCAGAAGCTAGAGTCAGTTACATTACTACATCCCTGGGTTTCTTCCTTTCATTTCATTCATTCTTCATTTTACCAACATTTGTTAGCCATGTGAATTAAGCACAGAAAAAAGAGCTCATCAAAAAATAAATGAATCATTCCCTCATGAAGCTTATTCTCTCATACAGTAGTAGAAATAAATGTTAAACAAAAGTATATTGTTACAAATTGTGGCGATATAAATGGAAAGTATTGTGTGCAAGGAGAACCGTGAGATAACAATAGAATACCCAAGTTATATTTCAGTCACAAAAATTTTTGAATAGGTGACAATAAACCTGAGATCAGAAGATAGGCAATGGGAAATGGCTCCAAGAAGGAAATAGTGTCTCTATTGCCCTGGAGTAAAGAGTGCTTGACTGTTCAAGTAACTCAAGCTTTTATATTTATCAACAACTAGCACACATTGTAGAAGAAATAAGGTATGAAAGTCAATGTATTAAAAATATATACATAAATATATATATACATTTATATATTATTATTAATAAAGGGAAATTTAAAAAGTATTGCCAAGCACCTCCTCTAAAGAGCAACAACAGACAGGATGCTGGATTGAGGATTAAAAAACAGGTCATCTCTGAGTTCACAAATTCCCAAAACATCAGAAAACCAGATTAGACAGTATTTTCTCTCTCTATCTCACATGGATAAGAATTAAATAAATAATATACTAACCTGCATAATTAACAGAGCAGTATGTACATTTTGTTTTTTGTTAATATTAAAGCACTTCCAATTTCATTTCAGCCTTAATTTTTGTACCGAATGTAAGATATTATTCATCTTTCTAAATTCTCTAGTCCAGATTCCCAGACATCTACCTAAATAATAAAGTCTTCCTTTTTTCTTTCAGTAAACCTGTTTCTACTATTATTGAAAATTTTTTAAATTAATATTTATGCAAAGCCTATGTCAAACTTACGTTCTAGTGCGTTATAAAGAAGTTCAAAGTCTTCACTTGTTTTAGGATTATACCTCCGGAAATAGTCCATTCTCATCCGTTCTTCTTTTTCTCTTATCTTTCTTATTTCTTCCTGTGCTTCCCACTCCAATCTCAACATTTTCTGTCTTCTTAAACCCTCTACCAAAACTCGAGCATGCCATTGCCTGTAGTAAGTCTGTAGCACTATCACCTGTAGTTAAATCAAAACTAGACACTTTTTGATCAGACAATAAACAAAGGCAATGATGATTATTTTCAACTCCAATTTTACAAGAAGAACAAAACACTAAGAGTCTAGTTTTAGCTCTATTTCAGATATTCTCACATATTACTAACATAAAAACATGGATAAATGCATGTCCCTGCTATGTGATTTTGAAATCTAGCAGATACATCTTCATAGCAGGATGTTAGTATAATGCTTAAGAGCACAGACTCTGGAGTAAAACTTAGTCTGAATCTTACCTCTGCTACTCACTAGTTGTTTGATTTAGGGTAAGTTACTTGCCTTCTCTGTGCTTTATTATCCTCATCTGTAAAACAGTGATGATAATAGTATGCATAATAGTATGCATATAAACTAAATGCCCAAATCTGGTATATCACAAGTCCTCAATAAATATTATTTGTTATAAATATTAATTATCTCAAGCTCATCTTAATTGCAATTAGTTTAGGCTAGTATGTAAAACAAATTGTATGTCCAAAACACACAGCAGGTAGGTATGTGTGGCAACCACCAAAGGTAGGTTAGATAAAGGGAAGCCTTAAGCAAACAAGTATTTATCGAATCATATAAATACAACTATGTATGAAAGTATAGCATAGTACTAGGCCCTCAAAAGGTCTGTGATATAGCTGAGAAAGTTATAATTTTATTTTTTATTTTTTTTTTTTGAGACAGAGTCTCCTTTGTTGTCCAGGCTAGAGTGAGTGCCGTGGCGTCAGCCTAGCTCACAGCAACCTCAAACTCCTGGGCTCAAGCGATCCTCCTGCCTCAGCCTCCCGAGTAGCTGGGACTACAGGCATGTGCCACCATGCCCGGCTAATTTTTTTTTTTTTATATATATATCAGTTGGCCAATTAATTTCTTTCTATTTATAGTAGAGACGGGGTCTCGCTCTTGCTCAGGCTGGTTTTTTGAACTCCTGACTTGAGCAATCCGCCCGCCTGATCCCAACAGTGTCAATATTCCAGTTCCCTTAGAAGAGCCTCAAGAGTCAGATCAAGTTGATGATCCCAACAGTGTCAATATTCCAGTTCCCTCAGAAGAGCCTCAAGAGTCAGATGAAATTGAAAAACAGGAATCTGAATTAGAACTATTTAGTAAGTACCAGAAAGTACCTCATGAGGAGCAGAGGTACCAAAGCTCTTCAAGCCTGGGACCAGTTGATGAAGACCAAAGCTTGGAAAAAGATGTGTCATCCACACAAAGTTCACTCACTCCAAGACCTTCTGAAGAGCGGACTGAAGTGCAAACTCTAAGTGATGATACTCTGTCATTTTTGGATAAAATAAAAGCGATAAAGGAGTCTTTGCAAAAATCAATGAAAGATTCTTTAGCAACAGGTATTACCTAGGGAAGATCAGATATTTAATTTCATTTCAAAGAATGGTTGCTCTTTCTTATTTGTTTATTTTTGTTTGAGACCTGTTTTATATTTGATATTACTTTCTTTTTCCCTTATCCACAAAACTTCTGTAGTTATACCACTTGTAGTTACACTCTTAACTATGTGTGAAAGCTTTTCTATTCTGTAGTGTTTATTCTTCCTCAATAAATGAGCATCAGTAAATTTTAAATTAATATTTATTTTTTAATCAAATACTTTATTGGTTTTAAAAACATTTAGGGAACTCAGAAAATGGAGAAATTCTTGACAAAAATTAGAATTCTTTTGCATGATAATTTGGAATTAATTGTTGTATATACTCCAGATTTCCTAGTTTTGTATCCACTGCTCATTCCACATACCATGTTGCTTTCATGTATTTCTGTAGACTGTTTACGGTTAACCTTATATTTAGCTTCTGAAAAATCATTGTTGTCTTTTATTGTAGGTTAATGTTAAAGACATATAAAAATAATGTTGATGGCATTATTTTTACAGTTTTTATTATATTCTTGGTAATAGAGCAAAGGAGAAGAAGCAATATAGTGGTTACACTATAGTGGAACTATTCCATTTGCACTATTAACTGATAGTTCCCTTTCCTCTCTATCCATGAGTTTTGAGAGAGTTTCCATCCACAGAATGAAGAGCATGGGCCATGATTTAACAATAATAATAGCAGCTTAGACTGGCTGGTAAATGTAGCTTTTGAATCCAGTGGAATAGTTTACCCTTGTGTGGTGTGTCCACACAAGAATGAAAAGGAAGAAGGAGAGAAAACTAATTAAGCCCAATTATAGCTGATGGAAGTGGCTATCTCTCAATTTTTTTATTCATTGTAAATTTTGGTTTCATTTTTGGATATTTCTGGATTTGGAGTCCTGAGTACTTACCATTACACAATGGAATCCCCATTTTCAGATATTTCTGCCATTCCCTGATACTGTAACTTATAACAAACACTTGGTGATTTAAAAAATAGTGTCTTGGTCCTATACTACATGAGCTTTGCAAATCCCTTAACACACCTCCCTTTCCAAAATCTTAAGAAGTCACTGCTATGAAAGTTTTAAAATATATTCCATAGCTTTTTTGCACCCATAACACAATTAAAATAGCCTTGCGATAATTCAACATCTGTGAAACCATTCTGTTTGTTGATAGAGAACGGTGAAAACAAGTTTTAACAAGTTCAGAGAACCTTAGCATCACCAATACCTAGTAAAATTTTGTTATGGAATTATTGATAAATGTCTCATTTAACTTTATAAAAACTGTTATGTCAGGCATCTAGAAATATACAAAACTTTTTGGCTTGCAGTGCACATTCCATACCCCATCTTAGTTATCACATCTTTTCCAATAAAATGTAAAGTCTGTAGATGTAAAAGAAAAAAGTTTACCTTATATTAATTAGTTTTTAAATACTGTATTTCCTTCCTATAATTTATGAACAGATAATAATTTTGTAATAGTAGTTTTTATTTTTAACATGTAAGTATTTGAGCATTTTGATTTCCTATTTTGTAGAGTGGGGAGTGAGCTATATAAAGTCCATCTTTGTGAAACGAAGTTATAGTGCTCTTCTATATCTGACTATCATTCATTCTTTTCTCTTTTCATTTACAGTAAAAGTTGTACTTATTCCTGTGGGCCAGGAAATTATAATGTCTTTTAAAGTTGACAATATTATTAAACACCTCAAGGACCATTTTTCATTCCAATTGGGTATCCCTTCTTATATGCTGCAGGTGACCTATTCAGGTAAGTTGGGAGGCTAATAAAACTTATCAAGACTTCTCTAATTTTAACATGTAAACAATTAAGATTTTTGAGTTGTTAAATATCTTGCTATAAAGTATTTGAACATTGTACTTATGCATGCATTAATTCAACACTTTTATTGAGGAGATACTTTGTTCTAGATATTTGGCTAGGTAATCAAGATACAAAGAAACATGAAGTAAGACTCGAGTTCTCAAGTTGTTTACAGATCAGTAAGAAAGAAGATGCATCCAATAGTTACCACATACTGTGTAAATGGTTTAATGGAAATATGCACAAAAAGCTAAGGATCAGGGAGAAAGGAAGTAGGAAATTCTAGAAAGTTTCATTTAAAAAAATGGTATTTCTTGTGCTAAGTCCCAAAAAGGTGAGAAAACCTGAAAATTTTGGAAAGTGGTAAGAAGTTTTGAGTAGCTAGAAGTAGATTATATGTGGGGAGTGCAAGGAGATAAGATTGAAAAAATGGATAATGAAGGAGAATGTGTAGAACAGAAAGGGTACTGAAAATGGTTTATGAGTATTTTATACATTAAGGTCAATTCACATTCCCATGATGTCAGGTTATTAATATATTTTGTGGATGATACTGAGCAGCCTACTGAATTTATATTAGCTTTGTGTCATGAGAGAACATAATCTTTATAACTATGATAATTTATCAGACTAACCTGGATTAATATATGTTTCTATAGAATGTATCTGGATAGATCCTCATATTTTAGTTTAAAAAGTTTTGGTTATTGACTTATGAAGACACCACAAAAAGTTTCCAGAGAAAAACAATCAATTCAACTTTAAAATTATTAAAAAAATTCTATTAGAGTGAATGTACTCCAAAAGTAAGATGTTCATATTCAAATAACTGATTAACAAAGCTTGATTGGGTAAACAAAGCTAAAATTTAAATAATTATTAGTATTAGTAATGATAATGATGATAGTTCTGTTGATGATGGTGGTCAATTTACTGAGCACTTACTACATGTTGGTATTTCCACAAAACATTTTGCCTACATTATTTTCACTCTGCACAACAACTCTTTGAGGTGGGTATTATTATTATTAACTTGTTTTTTTTGAGAGAAGGAAACTATAAAACTCAAGGGAACTTGTGCAAAGTCACACAGACAGATAATTGGCAGTCTGAGCTTAAATGTAGTTATGACTCCAGAGAGGGGATTTGAAACTGCTGGGCATTAACTATAAGGTGGAGTTCCAAACTGGAGAAGAGAAAGCACTTTGAGACTGTAGTAGCTGGGTAGTGTTACAAAAGAAGAATCTCTCTGTTCTTTACATTTCGTGACATTTCTTCTTCATGTGTAAGTACCAGGCATCACCTCTGGCTAACAGGCTCATGTCAGCAGCATTATAAAAGAGCTTGATTCTATGCCAACCATCTTCTAAGACAGGTGCTTTCAGCTAGTCCTAGAACTGGAGCTCAAGCTGGGTGGGACTAAGCCAACTATATAAACAAGTAGAGGAATGGAGGGGTCCCTGGGAACTACTGTGAGTTGTCTATGGCTGTGGTACCAATCACAAACTTAGAGGCTAAAGCAACATGTATATTTTTCTCATAGTTCTGGAGGTCAGAAATCCTAAATCAGTTTCACTGGGATAAAGTCAGCGTGTCAGCAGAGCCACTCACCCTCTGGAGGCTCTAGGGGAGATTCTACTTCTTTGCCTTTCCAGCTTCTGTAATTGCATTCTGTGCATTTGTTGGCTCATTGGCCCCTTCCATTTTCAAAGCCATCTCTCTTTGCTTCTGTCATATTGCCTTCTCCTCTGTAGTTAAGTCTCCCTCCTCTTTTTTATAAGAAGATTGTGATTACATTTAGGGTCCAACCAGATAACTCAGGATAACTCTCCAACTCAAAATTCGTAATCAAATCTGCAAAGTCACTTTCTCCATTATAGGTGATGGAAGGTTAGGATGTAAGCATACTTTGGGTCACCCACCACAAAGCCCATATGACATTCATGTTAATTTTTTAAATTAAGAATTTAGGGTGTGAAATTGAAACTCAAAGATCTTAGAATGTGCTTTCTTAAACATAGCCAAAATAGATTACAGATGGTCCCTGACTTATGATTAGGTGATGTACCAGTAAACCCATCATAAGCTGAAAATGTCATAAGTCGAAAATGCATTTAATACACCTAACCTACAGAACATCATAGCTTAGCTTAGCCTACCTTAAATGTGCTTGTAACACTTACATTAGCCTCTAGTTGGACAAAATCGTCTAATAAAAATCTTATTTTATAATAAAATGTTGAGTATTTCATGTGATTTATTGCATATTGCATTGAAAGTTGAATGTATGGGTACTCAAAGTGTGGTTTTTACTGAATGTGTATAACTTTTGCACCATCATAAAGCTGAAAAATTGTAGGTCATACTATTGTTAAGTCAGGGATTATCTGTAGTGGTGTCTAATATATTTCTAAGAATGAGTATAGCTTTGCTGTGTTCTAATTCCTATTTGTAATTTAGGAAGACCATGTATTTGAAAATTGATACAGATTTCATCAATAAAGTTTCTGTGACACAAAATAGTAGCCAGTAACATTATTATATTTTTGTATGCTTTAGGACAGAGACAGAAAATTAGTCAACTTATTGAATACACCAATGGGAAGGTTGAAGTGTGAGTAGGGAGTAAAAGTTGAAGCAACAGCAACATAAAAATAAAGTGATGGACACTTTTTCTAGTACAAGACAGGCTTACCTCCACCTTGGCATGGATTGATTTGTATGAGTTTCTGGTTATGAAAAGAGAAAAAGGAAGGGATTCTTTAGAATTTTGTGTATATGCTTTTCTGTACTGGGGGGTGAGATGGATATTGAAATACTTATCCTTCCCCTGATATGGATATGCCTTGTGCTTATGTATAACACATTGTTTTTTATAGAGTCAATAGTTAGAATATTATTTGCTCATACTTAGGATGTTTCTATTTTTAAATGTTTATAGAATTTCATGATGATTATATATTTATATTCCTAATTGAGAGTTGTAGCTTTATTTATAATTCTGAATTCTTGCTCAAGAATGCACTATAACTCTTCCTATTATAGAGTTTTCTATACTAACATTACAGCAATAGGTGTAAACTATTAATACTATATTTAGTAATTAAATGATATGTGTTTTATAAGCATCTTTGATGTTTTCCATCTGCTTAAAATGAGCACATAAATTAGCCATTTTTAGAAATCTAAAATGTATAACCATCATGGTGACTATAGTTAATAACAATATATTTTATACTTGAAAATTATTACAAGAGTAGATTTTTTTAAGTTTTCTTACCACAAAAAATGATAAGTATGTGAGATAATGGTATGGATATGTCAATTAGCTATATTCAGCCATTTCACAATGTATACATGTATCAAAACCTCATGTTGTATATCATAAGTATATATAATTTTTGTCAATTAAAAAAAGAAAAAAGAAAATCAATGAATAAACAATTATTTGTCATAAAACTTCTTAAAATTTTATTTTATTTTTTAGGAATAATTCTTAAAAATAATGAGACCCTATTACAACATGGAGTTGAGCCACAGGAAACTGTGCAAGTGGAAATCTCTTCTACCCATCCAGATATATATCCAATCAAAAGAATACAACAATTAAGTAATATCTCTCAAATCATAACTGTCACTGTACAAACTGGTTAGTTATTTTATGTCTTTTAAAGTATTTTTGAGTCTCTCTGTACTTGAACTTTCATTCAATCTTGGTTTTATCTATCTCTTCAGGCATTGATCAGTACCAGGAGGTATCTGTTGAAATTATAAAATCTGACTTTCATAAACCATTTCTTGGTGGATTTAGGCATCAAATAACAGGAATAGAATATCACAATGCAGGAACACAAACTGTACCTAAAAAGATTCCTGCAAGAACTGATGTATTTTGTAGGGATGCACAGGTAATATTAAAATTTTTCCATTTAGGTTTTTGAAGCTATCGAATCAATAATTGTTATACTTTATGACTCTCTCAAATTAAACTGTATAGTAATTACATAGCAATTAAAATAATAAAAGAAAATTAAATATGTAGAAATGTGTTTTCACTCGTGTGTGTATTTATGGTGGATAATTATTTCAATTTTTATGTTTTTCTTTTAGACAGTTTTTCAGAGAAAAAAGTTACAACAAACTACAAATACAACATCTACCCAGATGACTAAAATTGGTGTGTATGTATCAAATATGACTGATAGACTGAAAGAACCAGGAATGTATTTTTCAGCAGCAGAATATCATGCTCAAAGGTTAAAGGCGGTAAGATAACTTTTGTTGTGGATGACTACAAATTAAACATAAAGATCAATTGTTCTGTATGTGTCTGTGTTTCTCTAAGGCACAGCTTGAGAAAGAACCCACAGGAGTATGGGTCACATTTCATTACTAATAAAAGCAGTCGTTATCTCCATATCCCTCCCGCTACCCCCCACCTCATACAGGGAGCCAGAATCCTAAATGCTCCTACTCCTTCCCTTTTTCTTAGGGAAACTGAGGTGCTTTGCCTACTGCCTTTGGTCATTATTAGCCTTTTCAACACTTTGTCCCCTGGATTTAACTTTTGTCATAGTAGAATAACCTAGGGAGCTTTCCAGACTAATTGAAACCAAATAGGACATTAAAATCTATTTTCTCTGATATTAATATAGCCACTCCAACTCATCTTATTGTTTGCATAGTCTTGTCTTTTTTCATCCTTTTACTTTCAACCTATTTGATCTCTTATAGACAGCATAGTTAGATCTACCTCCGAGTAAAAATGACCTGATTACAGTGATTTAAATAAGAGATTTTGTTTTCAAATGGCAAGAAATTTGAAGTTAGTCTTTTTTTTAAGACCAATCGGCCCAAGACTTAAGAGACAAACTTATAGTATAAAAATGACAAGTCTATTGACTCATTGGAAAATAGAAGTAGGAAGCCATTTGTTAAATATGAGAGCTTTCCCAGTAGGCCTAAACTGCATTGCCACTCCTTGGATTATGATGTGAGAGGGGGAAAACTTCTGTGTTATTGCAACAACTGTGTTTTTTTTTTTTTTTTTTGAGACAGATTCTCGCTTTGTTGCCCAGGCTAGAGTGAGTGCCATGGCATCAGCCTAGCTCACAGCAACCTCAAACTCCTGGGCTCAAGTGATCCTTCTGCCAGCCTCCCGAGTAGCTGGGGCTACAGGCATGCGCCACCATGCCTGGCTAATTTTTTCTATATATATTAGTTGGCCAATTAATTTCTTTCTATTTATAGTAGAGACTGGGTCTCGCTCTTGCTCAGGCTGGTTTAGAACTTCTGACCTTGAGCAATCGGGTGCACCTTGGCTTCCCAGGGTGCTAGGATTACAGGCGTGAGCCACCACGCCTGGCCAACAACTGTGTTTTGATGTCTTTAAAAAGTTGTTTAATAGTGCCCAAGTGAATACATATTCTATTAATTTTTTTTTAATTTCAAAAATAAAAATTGTGTCATAGTCTTTTGTTGGCTCATTATATTGATTATATTTATTGCCTTTCATGTCTCTCTGAAAATGTTAACTATAGCTAGTCTGGTCTTGTTTTTTGTTGTGTTTTGATTTACTCTAGCAAAGTAGCGTGACAACTTTAGCAGTAGCATCACCTTGAAGGCTTCTTAGTATACAGACTGCTACATACTTCACCTCATAGTTTCTGATTCAATAGCTCTGGGGTGGGGCTTGAAAATTTGCGTTGCTGTTAATTCTCCAGAAATTCTTCTCATTGAGTGAGAAACCTTTTATGAATATCTTATTGGTTCTTCTCAAATGTTTGGTTATTCTTAGGTGTGTACTGATAGTGTTTTTACAATTCTAAATGTCCAATATGTTAGCATGTTTATTTACCACAGTCTGACCAGTGATTTTAGGGGATGTATAGAGCTTGATTCTGGGAGAGAGCTAGTTTTCAGGATAGGGGGCTGTTTTTTTTTTTTTTTTTTTCATTCAGGGTCTCATCAGCCTTCTGGGACACTAACCACTCTTGCCTAGGAAAAATATCTCTGTTTTTTTTCTTGCCTAAATTGTTTTAGAGTAGCCTCTTTTTTTTATTTGCATTTTTAAAGCAGTCACCTGGTTAGTCATCATTCTGCTCAGAGCATCCTCCAGTTTGGGGCTTGAAGCAATCTTAGAGGCACTTCTGTATTTTCTAGTGTGCCCTCCAGTACAGGATTAGGTTATAGATTCTTACTTCAATTTATTCTACCTGTCTCTTTTCTTGAAGGGATTTTTCAATGTTTCTATTCCTTTGAGCGACCCTTTCAATATGATTCAGTATCTTTATTGATTTCTGCTTTATATAATTTTTCTGTAATTATCAGGCTTTAGGATGAGGGAAAGGGATATGCCATGCATATGCTTATGTTCAATCTTGATCCAGCCTCTCCACATTTTACTTTTACTTAAAAGTTTAGTAAATAAAATTATAAGGCCAGGCGCGGTGGCTCACGCCTGTAATCCTAGCTCTTGGGAGGCCGAGGCGGGCGGATTGCTCAAGGTCAGGAGTTCAAAAAAACCAGCCTGAGCAAGAGCGAGACCCCGTCTCTACTATAAATAGAAAGAAATTAATGGCCAATGATAGTATATATAAAAAAAAAAAAAAATTAGCGGCATGGTGGCACATGCCTGTAGTCCCAGCTACTCGGGAGGCTGAGGCAGGAGGATCGCTTGAGCCCAGGAGTTTGAGGTTGCTGTGAGCTAGGCTGACGCCACGGCACTCACTCTAGCCTGGACAACAAAGTGAGACTCTGTCTCAAAAAAAAAAAAAATAAATAAATAAAATTATAAACTTTCTCAGCTATATCACAGACCTTTTGAGGGCCTAGTACTATGCTATACTTTCATACATAGTTGTATTTTATATGATTCGATAAATACTTGTTTGCTTAAGGCTTCCCTTTATCTAACCTACCTTTGGTGGTTGCCACACATACCTACCTGCTGTGTGTTTTGGACATACAATTTGTTTTACATACTAGCCTAAACTAATTGCAATTAAGATGAGCTTGAGATAATTAATATTTATAACAATAATAATATTTATTGAGGACTTGTGATATACCAGATTTGGGCATTTAGTTTATATGCATACTATTATGCATACTATTATCATCACTGTTTTACAGATGAGGATAATAAAGCACAGAGAAGGCAAGTAACTTACCCTAAATCAAACAACTAGTGAGTAGCAGAGGTAAGATTCAGACTAAGTTTTACTCCAGAGTCTGTGCTCTTAAGCATTATACTAACATCCTGCTATGAAGATGTATCTGCTAGATTTCAAAATCACATAGCAGGGACATGCATTTATCCATGGTTTTTATGTTAGTATATGTGAGAATATCTGAAATAGAGCTAAAACTAGACTCTTAGTGTTTTGTTCTTCTTGTAAAATTGGAGTTGAAATAATCATCATTGCCTTTGTTTATTGTCTGATCAAAAAGTGTCTAGTTTTGATTTAACTACAGGTGATAGTGCTACAGACTTACTACAGGCAATGGCATGCTCGAGTTTTGGTAGAGGGTTTAAGAAGACAGAAAATGTTGAGATTGGAGTGGGAAGCACAGGAAGAAATAAGAAAGATAAGAGAAAAAGAAGAACGGATGAGAATGGACTATTTCCGGAGGTATAATCCTAAAACAAGTGAAGACTTTGAACTTCTTTATAACGCACTAGAACGTAAGTTTGACATAGGCTTTGCATAAAATATTAATTTAAAAAATTTTCAATAATAGTAGAAACAGGTTTACTGAAGAAAAAAGGAAGACTTTATTATTTTAGGTAGATGTCTTGGGAATCTGGACTAGAGAATTTAGAAAGATGAATAATATCTTACATTCGGTACAAAAATTAAGGCTGAAATGAAATTGGAAGTGCTTTTATATTAACAAAAAACAAAATGTACATACTGCTCTGTTAATTATGCAGGTTAGTATATTATTTAATTTAATTCTTATCCATGTGAGATAGAGAGAGAAAATACTGTCTAATCTGGTTTTCTGATGGTTTTGGGAATTTGTGAACTCAGAGATGACCTGTTTTTTAATCCCTCAATCCAGCATCCTGTCTGTTGTTGCTCTTTAGAGGAGGTGCTTGGCAATACTTTTTAAATTTCCCTTTATTAATAATAATATATAAATGTATATATATATTTATGTATATATTTTTAATACATTGACTTTCATACCTTATTTCTTCTACAATGTGTGCTAGCTGTTGATAAATTAAAAGCTTGAGTTACTTGAACAAGTCAAGCACTCTTTACTCAGGGCAATAGAGACACTATTTCCCTTCTTGGAGCCATTTCTCCATTGCCTATCTTCTGATCTCAGGTTTATTGTCACCTATTCAAAAATTTTTGTGACTGAAAATATAACTTGGGTATTCTATTGTTATCTCACGGTTCTCCTTGCACACAATACTTTCCATTTATATCGCCACAATTTGTAACAATATATCTTTTGTTTAACATTTATTTCTACTACTGTATGAGAGAATAAGCTTCATGAGGGAATGATTCATTTATTTTTTGATGAGCTCTTTTTTTCTGTGCTTAATTCACATGGCTAACAAATGTTGGTAAAATGAATGAATGAATGAATGAATGAAAGGAAGAAACCCAGGGATGTAGTAATGTAACTGACTCTAGCTTCTGCCTTGCCAGTAGTATCTGTTAAGGCAGAAATAACTGGGACAGAAGAGTTATTTATTACATTAGATACCTAAGAGTGTAGAAATTGGACTCTTGGAAGATATGGAAAAATTTAAAAAATTAAAAATAGCCTCAACTATTATTGGTAGTTGAATGGGGTACTATTATCCAAGGAAATAAGTCTTGGATTTCTCTCTGATTATTCATAACATTAACTTTAAGCAAATTTTCTTACATGCCTTTGATTTTTTGTGTGTGCGCTATGTGTCCTATTACTCAAGTGACAGTTTTCTTTTGAATTGGATACTTTTTTAGGTGTTAGATATTGGGTTTATTTCAATAGCTGTAAGATAATATGCACTTTATCAAAGATGTAATTAAACACTAGGTCTAATAAACAATAATTAATACATTTATCTTTCTGGTAATACACAAAATTGGGTGGCTTTAGGAATGGTTACAACTTCACGTAGTAGTGTTTGAGGTAACTGTTAAACCTCCTCCCTGGACTTGCATGTCTATTTCCCCTTTACTCCTAATCACTGATCTCTGGAAATACTCTTTGTTTTACTTTAAACTTCACTTCTACTTTCCTTTTCTCTGTCAGATCATAACAAAGGTTGTTTCTAAGTGTTGGTAGTTTAATAGAGAGCACTATTAGCCAGCTGTCTGTGAAAGGTCTTATTTGCAAGTATAAAACTAAAGTTCTCTTAGAGCAGAGTACTATTAAAATATTCCAAATTTATGTGTGAATAAACTAAAGGATACCATTGTTATTTTTGGTCAACATGTAGCTGTGCAAATAATATAAAATATGTTGAATGAGGTTCTGCCTTTTCTCCTTATTAGTGTTGTTAACTAAGAAAAGTGACTCCTTGTAAGCCTCAGTTTCTTCATCTATAAAAAAGAACTTAATAATTTCTGGTACATCTACTTCAGAGGGCTTAATAAAGTAAAAAATATAAAATATTGTATTTACAAAAGTACTTAAAAAGTACAAAGACCTATGCATGTATGAATTACTATTAATTAATTTTATATAGAATTTCTATATTAAAGTAAAACAGATATATTTTATGTTAAGTCCACACATGATTTGTATGGAGAAAACCAAAAATGAAACAAAAGAAATTTATATAAAAAAGATACCTCTCAGTTCTTTCTAGTTCTAAAATTCTAAATTAAAACCCATAGAACAAAATTTTAAATTTCTCTTTTGTTAAAATCTCAGGTTCACAAGCTCAATAATTTATATTAGTCTTTAATATAGTTTTCATTTCATAATCATAACTCCAGTCTTTGAAATTGCTGCCCTCTTGTGGCTTATAGTGACAACTGTATAGTTTGAACTATAATTCCTAATACAAAGCTTAACTTTTCCTCATGGTAACCTATCCTTTAGTAATAAAAGCAAAATGATATATCAATTTAAGAAAATAAATTTTACTGTATAAGATAATATGTTAAAGACAAGGCTATATACGGGCAACACTGTTTGATTTGTATGTCTTTTTAAAAATAGCAATATGTTGAGGGTGACTTCTTTCATTGATCTGAATTGTCACTAGAGTGGATAGTTGGGAAAAAACAAAAAAAACAGATGCTAAACATCCCATATTCTAAAGAGAGCCTGCAATAATTGGGGTTGTTTTGCCCATTTAAAAAATTTTATATAAACGAAATTATAAGGAATGACTTTTTTTGTATCTGGCTTTCAAGACTGAATATTGTATCAAGGGATTTATCCATGCTATTGTGTAGTTGCAGTTAGTTTGTTCTCATTTCTGTATAGTATGCTATTGCACAAATGTACCACAATTTACTTACCCATTTTACTGTGAATTTGTTTTTTTCTCCTCAGTTTTTGGCAGCTACAGGTAGTACTACTACAAACATCTTTTGGTGAAGGTATATATACATTTCTCTTGGGTGTAAACCTAGAAGTGGAATTGCCAGTTCATAGGATATGCATGAGTTCAGCTTTAAGTGGATCCTACTAGACTCTTTTTCAGACGTTGTGCCAGTTTATGCTTCTACAGGAGAGTATGAGGGTTTCAATTGTTCCATCATTCTTTCCAATATTGGGCCCTTCTGTCTTTTTCATTATAGACATTCTGTAGGGTGCTGTTACCTTGCCTCATTTTTGAGTGAGGATTTAATAGGTGAGATATCAGGATAACAGTCAGTGAAAGATAACCTCTCTCCTTCAAAAATAATCTACAAAAGAAATAAGGTTGGGGCCTATTTTTTGGCTCATGGACCACTCAGCAAGATCAAAGGTATAAAAAGAGATAGGAGAGAAGATTTGAAGAGGTTAGTAAAGTGGTTTCTTTGGAGAGAGTCATTGCTGTGCTTTGGGGTGAGTGTGGGTGGGTTGTGCTGTTTTCTGACTAAATGCTTAGAGAAAGGGAGCCTTCCTTGGGAACCTGAAATATGTTTCTTGTGTTTGGGAGGCACAGACTGGTACCTAAACTTTGAACAGGATGGTAGGTTGGGGTCGGACTCCAACCTAGGAAACCTCTAGAGCTAGAAGAGGGCTGACAAATTTTGATATTGAATAGTGCTGCTGCATTGAGATTACAGCACTTCCAGGATTTTTTGAGTATATATGTATGTGTTTGTCTTTTATCAAAAGGGGAATACACAGTAGAGAGAGCAATAGAGAGTAGGAGTTTGACAATGTGATTTGAGGTCCTCTTGGGTCTTGTTTAATAGGGCCCACTGGAGAAATGCAGGGATCTTGTCTAAAGAAGCTTGAAGTGAACAGTGGTATCCTCCATAAGCGGCTACCTGAAAAGATTTTGTCTTTTCTCTTTTTTTGCTGATTAGTCTGGCTAGGGATTTATCAATATTACTCTTGTACAGATTTTTCTCTCCTATTTTTTCTATTTCCTTGATTTCTATTGTTATTTTTTCTTTTATTATTATTGCCTTTATTCTGCTTACTTTTGGTTCTATTTACTATTCTCTTTCTAATCTTATATTGGAAGCTGAAGTCATTATTTTCAGATTTTCCTTCTTTCCTAATGTAGGTGTTTGGTGCTATAAATGTTCCCCTAAGTAGTACTTTGCCTACATCCCCCAATTTTGATATGTTGAGTTATAATTTTCTTTCAGTTCAAAATAGTTTCTAATTCCTTTTTGATTCTTCTTTGACCCAGGGATTATTTAGAAGTATGCTATTTAATTTCTAAATATTTGGGGATTTTTTAGAGACCTTTTTTATTGATTTCCACCAATTTAATTTTATTTTTGTGGAAGAATATACTGTTGTATAACTTGAGTCCTTTCAAGTTTATTGGAGCTTATTTTAACAATCTGAATATAGATTATACTGAAAATATTCTGCATGCACTTGAGAAAAATTTGCATTCCGTTATGGTTGGGTGGAGTGGCTGATAAATGCCAATTAGGTCAAGTTGGTTGATAGTGTTGTTCAGATTTTCTATAGCTTTACTAATTTCCTATTTATATATCAATTATTGAGAGAGGGGTATTGAAATCTCAGACTGTAATTGTAAATTTTTCTATTTTTCTTTGCAGTTCTATTAAATTTTGCTTTATTTATTTTGAAACTGTCTTATTAGATATATAAACATTTGTGATTGCTATGTCCTGTTGTAAATTGAGACTATTATCATTTCGAAATGATCTTCACTATTCTTTACAATATTCTTCACTGTGAGATCTACTTTGCCTAATATTGATATACCCTTTCCAGCTTTCTTTTGATTACTGGATGATATATCTTTTAATCAAAGCATGGTCTATCATTTTATCTTGCTATTTTTAATTTCTTTGTGTCTGTATATTCAAAGTATGTTTTTTTATATGCAATATATAACTGGATCTTATTTTTCAAATGATCTCTGACTTCTAATTGAGATATTTAGACCATTTATATTTAATAAAATTATTGATATGGTTAGCTATAAATCTTTCATCGTGCTATTTGTTTTATATTTGTCTTTTATTATTTTTAAATGTTTATTTCTTGTTTGTATTTATCTGCTTACTATGATGTGTT